TTAATACTAAATTCAATTTAAATTAGGAAAAGGCTACACTAAGAATCTCAAAATGATTTACAGTCACTAAAGTACATGAAGTGGGATACAATAAATCCTCATCTCCGGTGGAAAACCGAGGCCACCGAACCAGATAGCCAACAACCTGAGCAGGCCCCTGAACAAGGCGGGGGGGACAGTGCAGAATTCTAACTCTGCACAGACTCTCACTGTGGCAGTGTGTGGCCTTGGGCGGAGCCCTCCATGATGCACGGAGCATGTTGCTCCCCTGCCCAGCCTTCAGAACCGCATGAAGCATGTGGTGCTGTGGTCCAGCAGCAATTTAAAGGCCCTGGGGCTCTGGTCACCACCACAGTAGCAGCAGCAGGGAGTCCCGGGCCCCTTTGAATCGCTAGACCCCAGGACAACCACCCTCTTTACCCCCACTGTCGGTGGGCCTGCCACAGAAGCTAACTGAACTGCCCAAGTTCCCATTGCAAAGGCCTGATCAAAACCTCATTGGAAACAATGGAATGATTATTTACTTCAGCAGGCTTTGGGTCTGACTCTCACTGTGGCAAAGTCGTATCACAATGGTTCACAATTCTGGGTGCCCTGAGCAAGACATTACAGAGGCAGAGAAGAGTGCTTTAGTGCAGAAAGGGAATGGGTGCTTGAGAGCACGCCGCTAAAAACCGACTGGCCCCAGTATCCTTTGCAAAAAGCTGATGAGCTATGGGAACAAAGAGGACCTTTCAAGACAGAAGGGCTCTGTTATCTGAAATAGTTTTAAGATGTATTCGTTAATATCATAAGGAGTCTGATCCTGCTCTCATTGAAGTTAATGGGAGGTTTGCTATTGGAGAGGCTCCCACAGACCTCAATGGACATTGAATCAGGTCCTTCATTAGAAAAGCTGATTATATGGGGAGCAGGGGAGAGATGTGGTTTTGGAAAACATTAGAACAAGTCAAAAATTTCTAAGATACTGTAGAATTTTGAGCTGTTCAATGTTCTCCCAACCATGCTATCCAGGGTCTGACAACTGCTTTAAACCTTGGTCTGAAGCTGATCCTTGATTATGTGCTGTACACATGCCAGTTACCAAACTTAAATACCTCTCATGTGGAAAGATGAGCACCCATATCAGCACTGGTGTAGTAAATCTTTCTTAATCAGAGATTTCTCATAAAATGCACACCCTGCTGTGAACATTCCAGTCAAAATTTCTTCCTCCAGTTCATGTTTTCTCAATTAGGTACTCCTCACTCAGTGGTTATGGAGTGGTTTTTAAGAAAAAAAATGCAGTCAATTCCGGTTGTGAATTTGGAATATACATTATATTGGCTAAAGCAGACAATTTTTTTAAACAGAAAACCAACCCCCTTGCCACAGGCAGTACTGTGGTGTGTCTGTTAAAACAAAGTTCCCCTGCAAAGTGCATAGCAGAGGCCATGTCTCAGAACAGAGTTATGGAAATATATCCTTTTTTCCCCTCAGGCTAAAAATTCATATAATTGTTTTACTCAGAATCTCTAGAACCTCCAACCATTGAAATAGGCACTTAAAAACTGGCAAGGAATTTGCCCTGGTATCTAGAATGTGACTTTTATTGTTTATGTGAAAAGCTGTTCAAATTTGGCCATGTGATATGTTTCTGAACATTTCAGTTCACACTTGTTCAATAAAGACGTTAGAATTTGGCCACTAACTTCACTGAAGATTCCATCTGTACAGAGCATGTTCCAGTTCAGAGTTTCAGCAACATTCTCCTTGCAATGGCTGCTCTTAACAGCCAGGAGCCTGACTGATGCCCGGTGCTAGAAACACTCTTGCTAGGTCTACACTCGCGGCTTCTTGTGCGAGTTATATGCAAATGAGGCTAAGCATGGAATATCGCCGAGCCTCATCTGCATACCTAATGAGCCACCATTTTTTTCAGAAGAGGCTCTTGCGCAAGAAGGAGTGTCTACACTGCCCTTTCTTGCACAAGAAAAACCCTCTTGCGCAATGCCGTTACACCTATTACTTTTCAGGAAGAACGGCATTGCGCAAGAGGGTTTTTCTTACGCAAGAAGAAGCAATGTAGACACTCCTTCTTGCGCAAGAGCCTCTTCTGAAAAAAATGTGGCTCATTAGGTATGCAAATGAGGCTCGGGGATATTCCACGCTTAGCCCCCTTTGCATATTACTCGTGCAAGAAGCCGCGAGTGTAGACATAGCCTCTCTGTGGTGCTTTCAGGGTTCACCCTGTTGGTGTCCAGGCAATGTGGAGGAGGTGAGGAGCTATCTGGAGGACACAGAGAGGGAAGACTGGCAGAAGGAGCCAGAATAAGGACTGAAATAAGAAGCCAGAGGAAGTTGGAGAACTAGGACTGGGGCACGGAGCCAAGTGGGAAGGAAGAGGAGCACTGGGACAAAGAACTGCTAGGACACTGGGACATGAAAGTGGAATGAATGAAAACTTAGAGGGCAGATGCTATTGGGGACTGTGAAAAGGACAGGCTTGAGGAGCAAGAAGCAGAAGGGATCTGGGTTGGCAGCAGTCAGGAACAGAAGGGTCTGTAACCACTAGAGTGCACATCCCTCAGAACCTTGGAACATAACCCAGGATTCCTTAACCTCAGTGTTCCTCCTCTTCTAACAAATAGCTGTGAAAGCCACTGACAGAATGCGTGCCTCCCCACTAAAAGCTTAATCGTCACCTCATAGACATTTTATGGGTTGGCACATCTGGCTGTCACGTATGCCATTCATGTGGGAAGTTATGATGCCTTATTACCGCTGAAGCGCTGGTAATGTTTTGCATTAAAGCTCAAGATTATGAAGATGGAGTACATATTGCTTTTTGGTGTCTGCTAGGAGATGGAAGCAAAAGCCTTACAGAGTGGGTCATCAATGGCATTGCAGGCTATATGAAAGGGGAAAGGTATGCACAAGTCTTTCCCATTAATGCCTTGTTTGTATTCTTTTAAGGGTTTGGGTGGTCAGTGCGTGCTTCTGCAGCCTTCTCTGCTGCCAAGTGAAGTTTCTGTTAGCTGATTTCCTAGTTCTTCATACAGGTTTGGGGGACTTCAGTGGATAGCTCTCCAGGGAGCTGCATCAGTCTGGGAGCCAGAGGGAGAAACTGCACTGCTGAAGCAACTCCTGCCTTCACTGACCCTTCTGAAGAGTGTGGGAGGCTTGGATGTGCTTTGTGTCTATAACAGTTTAGCTTTGTTTAAAAGTTACCAACAGCAAGTACATCAAGAGCAACACTCCATGCTGAGCAATGACAGCAAAACCTGGCATCTGGAAAGGGAAACTCCATGAAGGATTGTGTCATTACTCACTTCCCAGAGCACTCTGTACCCTTTAATAGACTTCAGGCAATTGGATACTGTGAAGAGCAGTGCAGCAATGGGGTGTGCATATCTGTGTTACACAAGCAAACCTTCCTATTGCACTCCCCTTTCTTCTGGGACTCCCATCCTTTCTAGTATGAAGCATACCTCTTAGCCTACAAAAGATGCCAAACTAAAGCACTACCTGTATAACCCACACTCTCTTGAGCAACACCGGGGAATTGAACTATTGTCCTCAAGAACTAAAAGCATCACGCTTGCCTGCTTGTGCTAAAGAGAGGCAGGCTCTCACATTGAGCGCAGTCACAGATTCATGTCCTCTAAGGATGAGGCTCAGCGCTGGATGCATAAAGAACACTGACTAGTGGGTTATTCAAGTAAAGTGTACAACAAGGGACTGAAATGTGAAATGTGTGTGGGTGATTCAAATGACAGATGATCATAGGATAAAATCTGCTTTAAAGAGGTCTCCTTGCTGCATGAATCACATACAACCATATTATACCCCCAGAATAGATTATGAGCAGGTCATGAATCCCAGGGCCTTGAAAATACTTTAGCTAAGGAATAACTTAGTTAGCCCGTTTGTAGAGCATTGCCGGAGAAGGACGTGACACACACTTTTCCCAAGTGGGTTACACACTACTTCCTAATCAGCAGTAGAAATCAAGCCATCTATTCCTAGTGCTAGGAGGGGAACACAATTTATAGTGGTTAAAAGTAGGATAATTAAAACCAGTTTTGCCATTCTGAGAGGCAGTATGATGCAGTCAATACAATCTGGAGCTATTGGGCTAGAGACCTTCAGTGACATTGCATAAGCCTCAGAACATATTTAAAATAATGGATGGGGATGGGGAGTGTTCAATAACTCTTATTAATAGTCTCCTACATTGCAATTTATTGTCTTAGTCAGCTGGGGTGGAGCTGCCCCCTCTCCTGCCTGTGGTGTGACAGGTCCAGGTGGTGGGGGTTGCTTTAGCATGGCCGGTGGCTAAACCTAGGGCCTATGTATTCAAGCACCTCATACAAAGGTGTGGTTTTTCAGGGAATTAAATTTTAAATCACACGGGGTGAGATTTTTGAAAAGTTCCTACGGGAGTTGGACATTCAACTCACAATGAACTTCCAAAGAAGCTGGGAACCTAGCACTTAAGCATTTTTTTAAATTCCCTCCCACTGAGCTTTATAAGTTACTGCAAGTCCTTGAAGTGTAGCCAGGAATGAATAAAGTGGCAATACACATTCACCCCATACCATATTTCACATATATATGCTGAAGCTTGCATATGTGCCTTTGACTTTGTAATTCACTTCTCCCATTTGTCTGATAGAGCCAATGTTAAGCATGAGGCACGCAAAGTGTTTTTCATGATTTTATTTTATTTTTTCTGAACAGGTTGCTTGGATTATTTAAATAGCTTGCAGATTCCTTTCTGGGCCAAGTTTTTTTATGCTGATCTAGATCAACATATCAATACTAAAACGTATTGCTCATCCACCCAGGGACAATGTCAAGTCTTATGTATTTATAACTAGATGCAGGATTTCTGTAATTTGACTAGATTAGTTCTGTTAGGTCTAGATTTGCTGACAAGCAGATCTGCACAACTCTACTAAGACCACGAAAATGACTAAAGACTAGTGAAAATTGTTTAAAATTAACCAAACTGTTACCTTGTATTTGGCTTCAGATTCTCAATAGGTAAATGAGTAGCCCCTGCAGTCCTGGTTGACCACTTGTTCCTTATAAAATCATCATAAGATGCACTGTAAACCAAGTAACCTGCAAAAGGAAGAGAGAAAAACAGATCAGCCACAAGCATTTCAATCAATGGTATCCTGAGGCTTAGCTGCTTTGAAAAATGTTAAGCATCATAGAGCAAAGACATCAGGGTTCTCTAGTGATGCTTAATATAAAACCTGCCCTTTATTCCCTCAGTCAGGGATGTTAAAAACATGTATTTGTGTAAATGCATAACTGCTGAAATGTTAAGTGGTTACATGTTTACATGCAGGCGGCTCCATGGGAGTTGGAACATGTGGGGAGATGGCTTTAAAGCCAGCTCCCCACAGGCACCAGCTTCCACCTACCCCCCTACTGCCTTTGGTACAGAGGTAGCGGGGGGCGGGGGGGTGTTGTGCATGTAACCATGATGTTTAACCAATGAGCCTAGGTTTATCAGTTAAACATGTTAACAAGTACACGCTAACATCCCTACTGTGTATCTGCATTCTTTAAAAGTGCTATTTTAAATTATATGGTTATTCACATTTCCAAGGAAGTTGGTTGTTTCTTCAGAGCTGGTGCTTGCACTAGGCCACTATCATTTTTGGTGTGACTACACTGAAGTCAATGGAGTTAAGCCAGGGATGAACAGGACCATTATGTTTAAATAACACTTCAATTGTGACCCAAATTGACTAGTATGAAATAATGTAGTAGATGAGGCTGAAATGTCTTTCTCCACTATTTTACTTTAAAATGTGTTGTAGCCTCAGCTGGTTTAAATTTTCATAGCTTCGCTAACTTTAGTGAGTCTAGCCCTGAGGTGTCAAACTCAGTCTTGATACAACTCCAACATCTTGCTGGTAATTACTCAAGTGAATTTTTTTTTAGACTTAGGGAGACTAATCTATTTCCCCTGACATCAATGGTAAAATTCCCATTAACTTTTAATAGGAGCAAGACAACACTTACTACTCACTCTACAAGGTGCTGCTGTTACAAGCTTGATGCTCACTCATTCTGGAGCAAATGCTAATCTCAGCTCTGTACGGGGAAGGCTGGATATTCTGCATTAGAACACTGCATGGAAATCCCATTGAGGTCCCTAAAGCTCAAGTGTAAATGTAAGCACAGAGATCCAGGGTGCATATTAGACCGCAGGAATTTGCTCTGCATTTGAAAAAGAACGGTTTCCAGCATGGATAAAGACCCTGCATTGGTAATGTATGTCAGGCTTTTAAAACAGGAAGAAAAACATCAAGAAAAACAGCAAAATGGCATCATTCAACTCTGGCAGTGTCAGCTACTCCGTCTGATTCTCCTCCATATGCTTCCAGTTTCATGATGGCGTGACTCTTCTCAAATGAATGGAGCTACACTTTGTAAAAGTGGAGCAGTACAGTCAGATCTACTGTGCTCTCTTTAACACTGTCCTTTTCAAAGGAGCCTCAAAGAGGCAGGGTCTCAACTCCCATTGAACTTCAATTGGGATCAGACACTTTTCTTTCCCCAGGCTCCTGTTAAAATCCCAGCCTAACATCACTCTTGTTTCCTGCCGTTTCCATTAGCCAATACTTTATATTTCCAATTATATCTGAATAGCACAGGGGACACAGACTTTGGGTAATCAAGAGGGCAGGAGCCATTCAGACATTCAGCAGCTCAATGGCCTCCCTTGTGGCCAAAGGCTCATTCTCCTCATACGTGCAGTCCTGGTTTGGGGTGGGGGGGAAGAGGTGTCTTTGCTCTGCCTGCTCACTTGTTCCTGTGACAACAGTACTGAAGAGGGCTCCTTGCACTGTTGCAAGCTGGTGACCCCATCCTCCTCCTCGCGGTCGTGGCTGGAACTCTCTGCTCTATCATACTAACCTCCATATTATCGGAATCCCTTCTATGACTCCCAGCACGAAAAACATAGGGAGCAAGGAAAGGGTTTGGGCTAATAGTATGAGTTTACTATATGTAGCTATCATGCTGTACATAGTGAGAAACAACTTCCCATAAAGTAAATCTGCAGTTCATAGGTGGCAGCCAACCTCTCATTCTAGTTCCAGGGCACCAACACATGCAAATTGCCTGAGAAGCACTCAGTATAGGCATTTCTCACAATGACATTTTCAAATATGGTTTCTCTTTCCATTGACTCAGGCAACATTGAACACTGTTTACATTCTGTCCTGTGTGGGTATTTCATTATTTTTTTCTCTGGCTTTAAGCCAGCACACCTGTGTGTTCTCTGTAAATATTGAACAAACTGGAGTGGATGAGTGGGGGAAATCAATAATCTTCTCAACTAGCTGAAAGTTAAATAAAAGCAAGAGGCTATGTGGTCTTGTTAATTTGGTAACATGCAGTATTTAAAAAAATACGACTAGTGACTTTAGGGCCACGAACAAATATTTTGAACATCTGGAATTCTCTCCCTCCTCCTCACCTTCAATAAATGTCCTTAGGTAGAAAGAAAAATGTGTTTTTCATTCCATCCCGAATGAAAGCATTTAGTTAAAAATATGCAGCAAAAAATCATGGGTATGCCAAAAAAACCTTTCAAGCCTTCTTTATTCATCGGAAAGAGGGGAAAAGGAGCATAAGTTTGATTTTTAGATGGAAGAGTGCCTACCAATCTCAGAATGCTAGATCAAGAAATTATAACAAGCTATATTATAACAATGACCCATATTACACATAGCTGTAAGAGTGAAAAAGGCAGCAGTTCATCTCAGAAAAAGGTGCCAAGATCCAAGCACTGCATGAATCCCAGGAAAGGTAAAAAGTTGCATCGAACATGGCCAAACATTACTCGTGTGACATATTGCTCTAAAACTAACATAATTAGTGACATTTTGGGTGATGTTTTTAAGGGAACAGTGTTCAGAGAACACTGAAGAATGAAATTCTTTTATTTCTCCACCAATAAGCACAGCACTGGCAGTGGCAGTTCAAGTTTCCCCTCTTCCCCCACAATTGTGTATCAGTGATACAAGGCTACTGGCAATTTCATGGCCCTTCATTTCATAGCTGTCCTGCAGAGGGGCTGCCAGCAAATGAGTTGATCAAGATTCAGCAACAGCAGCAACAATGCAAAAAACAATACAACAGCACAGTCAGTTTCTGCCTCCAAATCATCTGACCCACAAGTTTGGTTTTGCAACATCTCCAAATATTTTTGTTATTTACATCTCTCTCTGATCTTTTTTTAGCAAGGTTTGAGATTTCTATTTCAACTTACATTGCGGAGGGGCTTTAATGTGCTCTACAGATAGCGGGAAAGATCTAGTTTAATGTATTTGTTTAACCACCAACCACAGCATGAGAGATTGGCATTTGAACAAACTTTTAAGTCAACATAGTTTGGGTTATGGGTTCCGCAGGAGTTAACCAGCTCCATTTCGTTTTTACTGTTTTTATTTATATAAAAAGCTTACATTTCTCTTTTCGCTCTGCTACAAAGCTCCACAATATTTCTTTTTATACAGAAACAGTTTCATTCTGGCTTGTATTATTAATATTGCTATTATGGCATGCACTAATTACAAACCACAAGAGAAATGGTTCTGTATTTTCCATCCACCATTCCTCCCCTCCACCCCCAGCTCAGCACCCATTTAATTTTCTTGAGAAAGTGAACATTAATTTCAGAGATTCGAGAAAGAGCTGTGCTAGAAAATAAAAGAGACTGATTTTGAAATGTGACTTGCTATATTGCTAATGGAAATAACTATAGGGGAAATTTTATCGGCTGTAAGCCATTAATTCCTTGCATGCTTGTGCCACTTGGAGTGTTTGATGCTAAGTGCTACAAATTAAGCTCATAAGTTTTTATACTTCAAGACGATAGGCACAAAAATAGAGGCAAGGTGAAGCCCTTTAAAAGGGTAGGACTAATATATGCTTATCAGTGGCACTAGAAGAGTGTAGTCAGATGACAAACTCTTTCTCACTGACTAGAAAGCAATTAATACCTCCCTTTGAGGGAGAGGCGTATGCAATGGAGAGTTAACATTGTTGAAAAGTACTTGTTAGCTCAGTTTAAGGTAAAAGCTTTTCCATTTGGCTTCTGAATATATTCCCTGAACTCAGTCAGGACAACCAAACCCCAAGGGTGACAGCCAGCTTTGGCAAGTTCTGTTACTGTACCTGTTATCAGATCTCCTTGTCGGGGTTTGGCCCAGTCCACAATGACAAAGGAGTGGCAGCCTTCCACTGCCACCACTGTGATATTGTGAGGGACTGTCTGGGGACGCTGCTCTTCCCCTTTTAGATGATAGGGTATGATTTCATCCAGGCTTTCCACTTGGAAGTGCTCCAATGCTTCTGTCAAGGAACATGGGGCTGCAGGATCTTTACTGAGATAAGTCACATATGGAGCTGGAAGAGACAGTGATAAGCAGCATTTATTTAACATTTTGTACAGACAGCAGATTACTACAGCAAAAGACAATTTCCTGTAGATAAAAGCACAATCTTAATTTTCTTATTATATTCCTTACAGCCAGCTGAAATGGGGGCACTTACAGAAATGGCCACATTTCATTTTTTTTAAATAAAATAAATTAGACATTCATTTCCTGACCTTCCAGCTTGTACATCTTGTATATTTTCCTACCATTCCAATGACGCTTTCAAATCTTTAAACTGTCTGGAAACTTCTTGGAGCACTATTACGCCTCATATAAATAAAATGCCATGGAAACCATTAAGCATGACAAACATTCAGTGGGACTTACATTACTCTAAGGATTTTGATAGATGGGGAATAACGAGGCCTAGTGCATTTCAGTATGTGTTACAAAGGCCTAGTAGGGTAGCTCCTGATTAACCCAATGTTGTTGCTCTAAAATGAAGGCATAGGGCCTGTCTTTGGTGGCCAAAGTCGGGGAAAGGCAATGGAGTGGATGGGTGGATCCACAGAGCAGAGGTGGGGTCCTTCCTATTTCATAACCTCCCTATTTTGGGTTTGGAGCTCCTCTAGCTGCCCTAGACTGTCCCTCTCCACAAGTGGCAGAGATAGCCTTCTGAATTTAAAAGAAACATTTTTGCCATGTGTGGGGACGTGTTAATTCCCTGAAAAGGTTAAGTACAGCTTCTTCATGCACGTGGAGGAGTGTGAACCATGTTTTAACTGTGCTCCTGAACTGTGCTACAGTCTCGGACCTAGGGTTGCCAGATGATTTAACCAAAAATGCCAACACCCCTCACCAAAAAACAACAAAAAAACAAAACAAAAAAAAACCACCGGGGAAAAAATTCTGTTGAGAAAAAGAAGGGGGGAAGACCAAAGTTGAGAAAGAAAAAAAAGGGACCCACAACAGCAGTTATTAATCCAAAAAACAAAAATCAGCATGGCTTTTTTGCCAGCGGCCATTTTGTTTTTCTGTTCCAGCTACAAGACAAGTCCCGGGCTGGGCCCAGTTGCTGAGTGTGTCGTAGGGTTGCCAGGTGTCCGGTATTTTCGCCTCCTGGCAGGAAAAAAAAACATCAGAAAATACCGGACATTTTAGGTGTCCAATATAGTCTCAACTTTTTTACTGGACAAGAGGCGAAAATACCAGACTGTCCGGGTCAATACTGGACACCTGGCAACCCTACCCACCATGTGTCCAGCCCCATTCCCCTCCTCTCCTGGCTACCTGGAGATACACAGGAGTATTACCGCCTCTGGTAGATTTTGCCTCTTGGGCTTCTGTAGTAGTGTGAAGTTCTGAGATCATCACACAATGATGTGGCTTGGAGCAGCATCACCATGGTGCTGGTCCAAGGCTACGGAGCCCCACACCATTTCTTGTGCAAAGGAGTGAGCACAGCTTCTCCCCAGCAGCACATCTTTGCACCCCAAGCTTCATGATTTCTGTCAGTGCAACTCAACCTTCGAACCCTGGTGAAAGCTGCCCCTGCCTCCCCCTTGCATTTTTAGGGCCAGATCCTCAAATGATATAAATCAGCATAGCCCCATTGACTATGGGACTACACCAATTTACACCAGGAGAGGAGCATGCCCTAGAAATGCAGCCAGCCCCATTTTGGCTGTCTTCTGAATGGATGGCCTTTCTCTGTATTCTTCCCTCTCTTACATACCCCACAGCCAGGTTCTTGTTCTGAAAACAGCACTAAAAATTTGCCTAAGGAATGTAGAATACTGATCATTTCACAAGAGCAAATGGGACAAATGTCCAGTTTTGCCCAAAAAGAGAGGACTTCTGGGACAGAGCTTAAAAAGATGACTGTCCCAGCCAAAACAGGAGACGGGGTCACCCTGTGAATGTATCTAGTGAATGTAGTTTTAGTAACAGAATTTTGCAGGTTTTAGCTCATGTCAGAGCCATTGTTTCAGAAACAGCACACCCTAGTACAGTGAAAGCTCTGTTATCCCGCACTCTGTTAACCAGAAAACTTTGTTAACTGGCATTGCTCCCATCCACAATACCACGGCATCTTGCAGCATGTGCACCTGACTCCTGCCAGTCTAGCCGGCCATTATGGGGCTTCTGACATGAGTCAGCAATGCTGGCTGTCATCAGTAGGAACCTCTTTCCCCCTCAGCTGGCCTTGAGCTGCTGGGAGCCAGATCTGCCAGTAGATGGTGGAGGCAGAACAATACCAGCACATTCAATTAACCAACTACCTCCATTGCCCATGAGTGCCAGATAAAGCTTTCACTGTACTAGCATAAGCAATTATTTGTCTCCATATGGTAGTGAGCTCTACTAGGGAGAGGAGCTAAATATCATGGAAATAAATTACTGATATTTAGCACTGAAACCAATGTAGCATGGTTCTCCCTCAATATGGTATTCAATACTGAGAATTGCTAAACCCCTAATTCCCTATTTTATCTATGGAAATGTTCAGGTATTGGTTTAATAACCAGCAACTTTTACACGTATGCTTTATAGCTACAAGAACTGTACTTATAGGTCAATAAATGTCTAAATGGTAATTTTATTACATTAAAGGTCACTGTCATGGGGCAGTTGGACTGTTAACAGGAATCAGGGTCCAGCCTGCCCATGAAAGCCCTCTGAAGACCCACCTGGGACTAATCAGTTGCCCCAGGAAGCTGTTTAATTGTCAATTGAAGAGTATCTGAAACCATACCACAAAGTTAGCTAAGCTTCAGAGAGCTAGAGAGAGTACTCCCAAGGGGAAAAGGCCTCTGAGGGGAGAAAGAGCCTCCCCAGGGAAAGACCAAGTGTAGCTCCAGAAAAGGAACTTGGAGTGCTCTGGAGAAAGACAGTTCCTTGGGTGAAAGTTACCAGAGACAGATGAGAGCAGGAACCACAGACCATTCTTGAGGTGAAGAGAACACAGCCATCCTGCAAGAAGGAATTGCAGGCTGCTCTTCAAGGGAAGAGAGCAGCAGCAACTTAGAAGGCCTGGCTCCAAGGGATGGGCTGGTCTACAATGCCCCATGGCTAAAGAAGCAAGAAATCAGATGAACTCACCCTGAAACTGACGATTTCCTGTGGGATACTTATGTTTTGCTTATGTTTATACTAATCCTTGTTGTTAATAAAGGAAGCTCTGCGAAGCAGGTGTTCTTTCACACACAGAAGGTCTGTTCTCAACTTATCTATATCCAGACTGGGAGAAACTAAGGGAGAGTTCACCTGAGGTGTCACACCTGACCCCTAGAGAGCATACAGCCAGAAACAGAATGTCCACAGTCACTTTAACATTTAAAGAAAGTGTTAGTTCTAATCCTCATCTTTGGAAATGTTTATTCAGTTAAAACAATACAATTCCCTGGGAGGATAATATTTTCTTCTTTCCCCCCTAGTGCCCTGAATTACCGGTATTCATAAAAAAAATGTTTTTAGTTTATCTTATTAGGTTTTACATATCACAGGGAGTCTGCCCAGAGCTTGTTATCTACTTAATTTTAGCCATCATAAGCCTTTCTAATATAAATAGAATGATCACTGAAAGGATGGTAACATCCTGTCAGGTTTTGACAGGGAGGAGCTGAAGCCTCATTTGAAAAGTTTTGGTTTATGTGAAAAGTATTTTACTCCCAAAATCATGGTAAATTAGAGTTCAGTCTTCAGCTGCTCCAGAGTTCGACACAGCTCATAAGTAGGCTGGGGGGTGGGTGGGATGGCATGAATTAAGAGTAACTCTTAGCCACCTTTCCTGCTCCCCCAGTCCTGTAGCTGTGCTGAACCTCAGTGCAATTTATGTCAATCTTTAACATTTCCCCAGGGGTCACTATATTAAGGAGAATGGCTGGAATGTACTACTCTCTGGCCCTTGAAACACAAGGTCTCAGGCCAACATTCTCAGAAAGTATAAATAATAGTAGCTACAGTGAAGTAAATGAAGCTCTGCTGATTTACACCAGCTGAGAATGTGGCCTGTGCCTGGAGATCCAAACTTTTTGGCTTTGCTCCATCTCTTATTGTTTCTTTCTACAATTACTTAATAAAGCATGAGATTTATGAACATGTAAAATATATCAGCACTCAGTTATCCAAAGGGTTCCAATTTTAGATAAATGGAACAACGTCTTCTCTGCTTTCTCATACATTCTGAATGAAATATCCCAGCGAGACAAATTCTCTTCTGAGATTTATCAGTGTACAATGCCACTGATATGAATGGAGTTATTCTGGGATAACAGAAGAACTGTGCCCTGGTGTCCCATCTGGGGATTTGTCAACAAGGAGAGTTGCAAGTGTTTTACTAAATGTCTGAATTTAAACAAATTTAGTTTAACTGGAGAAAGTCCCAGAATAGACACTCTCAGGATATGTCCACAGTTACACTATTACAGCAGCACAGTTGTACTGCTGTAGTACTTTAGTGTAGACAATCACTGCAGTGATAGAAGGGGTTCTTCCATCAAGAAAGTTAATCCTTCTCCCTAAGAGGTAGTAGCTAAGTCAACAGAAGAATGCTTCCAATGACATGGCTTCAGGCGCTGCTCCTTCTGTAACTTGTGATATTCTCTCAAAGAACTGTACAGTAACAAGAACATTTGTGACTTATTAGCCAGATTTGTGCAGTCTTCTCACCCAATGTTATGATGCAGTTAGACTATTCATCTTATTTAGCAAAAATATAAACTGAGCTCACCAATAAATCGTTTCTTCCCGGCTAAGTCAAATTCTGACATAGGATCGGAGCCAGCAACACTGATCTCTGGATAGTCCATGTCAGGCACTGCTTCTATAGTAGAAGAAGTAGCAGCAGCAGTAGTAGTGGTGACCACAGTGGTAGTTGGAGGCAAAGTGCTTTCAAAAAACTCGTAGTCTTTAGAAGACACAAAGAAGAGTTGACAACATTAGCTTGCTCTACGTTCAACTGGCTTACACTTGCCAGGGAATTTGTAGCTTCCCACATTGCTAACTATAACAAGAAAACTAACGCAACAGTCTCCAGGAGATTTCACATCACAGAGGTCACACAGTCCTTATCGATTTTTAAATCGGAGGAGAGCATGCTTTGGCTCTTCTTCCCAGGGCTTGCAGCAAACTAAATAAAACAAAGACAGGCTTTGCACCAAAATAAAGGTCAGGAAAACCTTCATTTTCTTCACTTCACTTTATAAAAGTAATAGCACAAGAAGGGATTTAAGTTTTTAAAAAAAACTAAGGGAAGAAGCGAGTCCATTCTCTCAAGCAATCAACATGCATTTTTAAAAATGTGTATGTTAATAATACAAGTCATCCACAGAACTCAATCCCTTTCAAGTTAACTGCAGAACTACCACTGATTTTAATGGACAACTTAATGATATTAAACAGAATAAGATATACATATGCTTCAGATATAATAAACATATGAACCAGTTTATGGGGGAACATAATACTTTTGCAAGAAGGGAGTAGGGAAATATTAGAAAATAATCAAGTAAATAGGAAAAGAAAAAAGCTTTAACTTGAAATCCAGATTGGCAGAAATTCAAAGAGAAGGCTGACTCACTGTACTTATTTGACACCAAGGGTCTTATTCACAGGAGAGTTGTGCTTCCATTTCAGAAAGGCTTAATCTAATGTCTAATCTACTCAAAGTGGTTCTTATATAATGATATTTACCATGTTATCAGAATGCCTCCAAATCATAAATCATATACGTTAATCACTCTCTCCATCCCCTCCAATTAGCAGCCATGAGAATTGATTATATGTCGCCTTTCAGGGGTAAGGAGCAAGAAATAAGGAACTGCAGATGGTCATGAGCTGAATTTATTGCTGACTTATCTCTCATGCAAACTCATCAGGTAACACTTACCATGATAAACTAACATTTGTATGGCAAGATACTGAGGCCAGCTCCTCAACTGCTGGGAAGGAGACAGTAAGGTTCCCTCTAAGCTGTGTAGCCATGCAGCTGCCTAATAAGCCCTGTGCAGGTTCAGGGCTGTCACACATAGAGCTGCAGTAATGGAGGGAGAATCTCCTCTCCCCCAGCTGTGGCAGCTCCCTGTTGCTGGGGCCAATGGAACTGCTGAGGGGGAGCATGAAGAAAGATGCACCCCTCCAGTCCTAGGGCCAGATTTAAAAAGTGGCTTTAGGGGCTGCAGAATTTTATTAGAATAGAGTCATAAATACTGCCACAAAAAGTTAGTGCTAAGAGCTTTGGGTTTAACTAAGGTCTAGGTCACGGTGAGCAATCATTTTTGACCGGGGACCACTCCAAAATTTTTTAAAGTGGCCCGGGGCTGCCCTGGAAAGGACGGGGCCTCAGACAGAAGGGGTGGCGCCAGGACACTTCCATGCTTCCCCGCCCACAGATTCTGATTTGTCCGTGGGTGGGGGAAGCGCGTGAAGTCTTTGCCCCCGCTCCCTCCCAAAGAGAACTGCCAGCTGTTCTGAACAGCTGGTGGTTCCCCCTAGGTGGCCGCGCCTCTAGTGGTGAGAGGAGACTTCACATGCTTCACCCACAGTCTGTGACGGGGGATCCATCCCCTGCACTACTGGCAGTCTGCCATCTGGGCACAGATGCAGCCTCTACGCCGAGTGGCGGGCGTGGGGACGCTGCGCAGGTGCGTCGGCACACGAGCCCGAACCCGCGGGCCTTAGGACCTGGAGACGCCCAGCCAGTGCCGACACTGGGGTGCGCTGTGACGCCGCGCCAGGAGGACAAAAGGGAGGAGGGAGAAGGGGAGGGAAAGCAGGAGCTGGCTGTGCTCTCAACCCCACAGGCACCGAGCGACTGGGAGGAGCACCGAAGGCCCCAGCGAAATGCCCAGCCATCGACCCGGGAGCAGAGTGACCTGTCAGAGGCCGGCACGAGTCCCAGCAGGATGGGCGGCGCGGGAGCTGGCTGGATGCCGAGAAATCCACCGCACCCAGGACTGGGGTAGGTGAAAGAGGTGGAACCCGGAAGGAGAGTGGAAAGGAGAAGTGAGGGAGAGACTAAAAAGGGAACAGGAGCAAAGGGGGGAGGCCTTAAGGGTGGAGCCCACCTGACCACTCCCTTTGTTACACGGTCAATCAGGACCTGGGGACAGGGGGAGCACATGAAGTCTGCCCCTGCCCTGCAAGGTTACACTGCAGTTAAGAGTCACCTACCAACTGAGCAGCAGCTGGCAGGTGACTCTAAGGGCTGAGCCCCTTGCAGAGCGAAAGGAGATTTCATGCTCCCCCCATCCCACAGGTCAATCAGGGCTTGGGGATAAGGGGAGCGCACAAAGTCTCCTCCCGTCCTGCCCCCAACTTGCAAAGAGCGCATGGCCCTGATTGACTGCGGCAGGGGAGTAGCAGGACCTCTACAGGCCAGATCAATCTGCTTGGTGGGCTGGATCTGGCCTGCAGAGATCCTTTTGCCCACCCCTGGTCCAAGTTAATGTATGGGGAGGGTAAGCAAATATATGAGAATTGTAAGAGGCACAGCTGCAGAAGTCAGTTAAGACAGAAAATTATTGGCATTTCTAGCAATAGGATGGTCCATGAGAATACTGATAAATTAAATATTGGCAATTGAGGTTTCCTCTTCAGCAGAAGTTGTAGATTTATTATATCTTAGAGCCATGGATGATGCACTGGGATAACTCTATAAAGTGTCTATCTCTCTGCCTATTTTTTCCTTGTTATATGCATCTTAGTTGGAATACCTTGTGAGCTCTGCAGATTACTCTTTCAAGGTGTATTTGATCTTGGTCACGGTGTGCACATTTATATTCTAAATATACAATAGGTGTAAAAAGGATGAATGCAGAAAATATTTGCAGTGCTGCAGAGAGCCAGGAAATCTGTAGCATTACTACTACTACTTCCTATTTGAAAATAATTCAGTAACTTTGCGGATGTTTGGTTATGGCTGGATTCTGTAACAGGAAAGAGAAGGGCAGGATTGAAGCCGTGTCACTTCAAAAAAAGGGCATTTTTTTGGTTATAAGCAGGCAACTTCTAAAATAACAGCAATTAAGTTCTCTCTGGGCCACATTCTCCACATGAATGGGGTAGGCTTAGAAGCCAACTACTTCTGTTCTTCACAACCACCACACGACAACTATGAAACCCAGGGGAATGGCTCCAGCTTAAGCTGCTGGTGATAGCCTGCTTAAATTCCCATCCAATATAATGAGGAATTATTCTTTACAATGCGCACGCGCACGCACACACACACACGCACCCATTTGCAAAGGACCTTCCTAATCAACCAGTACCTTCATCATAGATCACATATGCCTCTGGAGTTGCTGTCACTTCCACATCCATCCCTGAGAATGTATCTATTGACGAAGAAAGAAAAGATAACACAATGATTAAATTATATTTGCCCCTCGCAATTACCCTCTGAACAAATTTTTAAAGGAAAGTTGAAAGCCATTTAATCCAATGAGACAATAGCAGCAATGCTTCTAGATCCCATGATAATGGGTGCACTATGGTGATCTAGAGTAGATGAACAGAAGCACAAGCTAGCCAGGAGTCACAATGTTGCGTCTTGCAGAACTGCAGTACAAACTACCAAGGTAACTCATCCTCCAGGAATTCTGCCCTGGCTCACGGGATTCTTGGAGCAAATGATGCCTTGCTTAGCATCCCAGTGACAGTCAGATCAGGATTTGACCCTTTTTGTGGTTTCATGGCAAGAACCTATGACATTTATGTGCAAGGATGGGTGAAGCAGCTCAGATAAAACAACAGTGAACTTCCACTCAAAATGTTTGAGGTGCAAGACAATTTGAGGGATTATCCCTGTGCATAGCAGACTCCCTACCTCCTGTATAAGTCACTTCAGGTTCCCTGCACATGATGCATTCTCTACTGGATTAGTTGCTATCTTGTGAGTGGGGGGAGGGCCGGGTCTAGCAGTCAGAAAATGTATTTTGCAGTGCCTGTGGCTCAGGGAAACCACAGAGCACACAAGACCTAGACTAGCCATCCACAGGGTGGCAGCAGGCAAACTTGCCGAGCCCATCGGCAAGGTGCGGACAGAGAGAAATGGGAGGGGGGGGTTAAAACAGCTCTCCACTCCTGGAAGGAGTGGAGCTGGGGTTAACCTCCTTGCCCCACCAGCTCTTCAATGCTATCTGGTGCGCACCACACAGGACTCCAGTAGAAATTTAAAGGGCCCAAGGCTCCAGCTGCTGCCACTCCCACAGTAGCAGAAGTAGGGGCTGGGAGACCTAGGCCCTTTTGAGTTGCTGGGCCCCAAAGCAGCTGCCTATTTTGCCCCTTTTCCCCCATCAGAGGGCATGGCCATCCAGAACAGTACTGAGAAAATAGGAGCATCCCAATGGATTCCATTACATTTAGGGCTATGCTAAAAGCCACAAAAAATGAGGAGTTGAGCTTCAGGAGGAAAATGCGGTTGGGATGAAGGAAATGGGATGTATGTGGTACAGGTGCATCTACACTGCAGGGCTTAACTCAAAATAAGCTATGCAAAGTGAGCTACGACAATTGCGTATCTTATTTCAAAATAGTTTATTTCAAAATAGGGAGCATCTACACAGCACTTATTTCGAAATAGAGCACTCTTCCTCTGACTTCCCTTATTCCTCATACAATGAGGGATACAGGAGTCCAAGTAAGAAGTCCTCCAGCTTGACAGTATTTTGACACTATTTCAAAATAACTGCCTGCTGTGTAGACATGGACTAAGTTATTTTAGAATAGCGCTAGTTATTTCGAAATAGTGTTGCAGTGTAGACATACTCTACATGAATAAGGGCAGGAGGAAGACATCAGAAGGTTCAGATATGTACCTGAATTTTGAGAGACTTGCCTTTTGAAGTCTTTTTCTCACATCTGCTTTACTGAGTGTAGGACTCAATCCCAAACTATCTGGGCTTTCATAGGCAAGGTCACCAATTATAATGGCCCCAATGACTGCCATAAATGGCTACTGATTTAAGCTACATTTTCCATAACATTTTAACATCTCAGGCCCACAATCACTATGACGTTCTTTACCATTATGCTTGGGAACAATGAAAACCATTATTTGCCTTTCCAAAGAAATCCAATGCCAAAATGCCTCATTCCAAGTAACATTATGCAAGGCTGGTTATATATGTTATACTATAGGTTTTATATTAAAGAGTGAGTGAGTGAGTGTGTGCGCGTGTGCGCGCATGCATGTACACAAAACACATGTGGGGGCACATACATACTTGTACATATGCATGAACACACTATCCAGTATAAATTATTGCATACATCAATATAAATTATATTCACCTTTCCACCTAATTGACACATTTCATATTTTCACGCTGTTATGTACTTTTATTTAGAAAGTAACCTTCTCACAGTAGCACTTAAGATAAGAAAATTGAATTATATTACAGTATTAACATGTGTGTTGAAACAAATCAATTTGCAGTGTTAAAGAATTAAAAATAAAAATCTGTACCATATTAGCACATTTCATTTATTTTTATTAGAGAATCAACAACAAACATATAAACTTTCATTCTCTGATTCTTCCTATTACAGTCAGACAAGAAAAAACCTAGCTTGTAAAATACAGCATTAATTTTTCTGCCAAAATAAATTTTGAAAATACAGGAAATTGGCTAATTCTTGTCAGACGTTAACAAAGCAAAATTCTGACATTTTCTCATGGTAAACTTCTGCAGCTGACCGACAGGCAATCATACAAAGCAGTGAATGTCTACTGGCCAACTACCAGGCAAGCATGAGACCAAGTGTGTCTTTTGATGAAGCTAGCAAGTAGCTGGTATGGATCACTTGTTTCAACATACACACTCTTGTTCGAATACCACCAGATAAATTATTGAGTATTAGATATACAGGAAGCTTTGAAAGTGTTAATGGGTTTCACTCCTTAAGGGTTCCCAGCTGAACTACATCTTGTCAAGGCAACAGCCCGATTATATAGAGATATTGTATTTTCTTGTGCGTTTCATCAAGTTCTCCAGTGTACAGGGTTGTATTTCCCTCAGCAACAGCTATGGCATGAAAATTGCCTAGTTGTTACAAAAGAAAAAAAAAAGAAAGAAAAAAAATTCTTCCATAACCATCTGTTTTCGATGTTTTATATTTCTTTTGACAGTAGTTCCTCAGTTAGACCCTTTTACGTTGACCATAGCTCCTTCGGCTTCCTGGCGATGTTTACTTCGGCCTGCTAACACGCAAGAATTACAATCTTCTTTGTCTTCACAAATTTTTCTACATTCACCATATGTCAGCCAACATGTTAAAAAACAAAACAAAACAAAATCAACCTACTACCTTTTTTCCCTGAGTCCAGGCACATCCAGGGTTGAATCATCTGGGAAGTTTCACTAACAAACTCATGCTTGGGCCGCCAAACACTTCTCTGGCTGTTAAATGTTACTGAATCGAGTAATGATGACAGTAAATTATGCTGAGACAAGCAAGTATGCTGCCAAAAATTTAACAGACTTTGCCAAAGAATTAGTATAACATGTGATGGCATTTTTGGCACTTAAAGTCCCAGTGTGTTGGGAAGCCAAATAATGATGGAGACAATATCAGGCTCTGGAAGAATAACTGTTTTACTAAAGACCCAGACAGAGGAGATAGATACTGCAAAAACACCATTCAGAAACATGCAGGACTTAGCAGCAGCAAAGGTTTAGGGCATGTTGGTAGCCCTTAGACTGGTTATCCTTCAATTGTAACATAGCAGTTGTTAAATAGGCACCATAGAAGAGCTTTCATCTCAAGGATGTTGTTCACTGATACAGGACAGGCTGTTTTATTGCATGTGTAAAATATTGGACTAGGCAACCAAGCTGAGGTTATAGAAATGTTATGGAGAGAGAAGCAAACATTTATTCCCTATGGAAATCTTCAAAACTCCGAAGTGGGGATTGATATTTCTCAAACTAAGTCAATGTGTCTGTTACAGAATCCAGGAAGAGTCCTGTCCTTTCACACTTCCAGTCTGATGAATTGGCAAAGAAGTTCTTGACATGCAGAACGTTTAAAAAGAGACAGCTGGTTTTTCTGCAACATGCAGCAAGACTCTCTAAAGAACTGGGCTGCTCCATAGATGATACAATGCCTCTTTTGCAAAGAAAGAAACGTGGGCCAGAACTTCTGGCAAACTGGACACTGGAAAAGAAAGAAATATTAGTGTGTAAAAGGTTCTTTAAACATGACAAAAATCAGCCAATGCCTTTATTAAAAATAACACTTGAAATATTTTTAGGCCCAGATTTTGAAAACTTTGATGAGATTCAAGGCAGCTTTGCTCCATGAACAGTCCCACCAAAGTCAACATGTCGACTTGTAGAATAAGCTACTGGCTAATATAAAGGGAATTGGAATTAGGTCCTCATTTATTTTCATGAAGATACTATTATGTATCCTCAATATGCAATCAGCAGTATTGTCAAAAATAGCTGTTCTGTTGCTTTTAAAGAGGTCCATATACCTCTGACACACATGAGAAGAAGAAGAAAGGTCAAGTTGTTAGAGTCCTAACCTAGCACTTGGAAATCTGAAGTCACTATTTCTGCCACAGACCCTCTTGGTGCCTTAGGCAAGTTACTTAGCCTCTCTCTGCCCCCGTTTCCCATCTGTAAAAGAGGGATAACAACCATGTGAGGTAGGAATTAAGAGGACAAGTATATTAAAATACTGTATGGTGCTCAACGTCTCTAGTACTGGGGACAGTATACACATAGGACTTGTCTTCACTCTGTGAAGATTGATGCTGCCACGATCAATCTTCCAGAGTTTGAAAAGGGTCTCAGTTAATTTTTCTTAAACCGGATCTCTACCAAAACCACCTGCTGCCATAACAAAAGTGAGAAAAGCCCAGGAAAAATCCTGAAGTACATTGGATTACTTCATTATCTTTTTATTCCCTTCTTGTAAGTGCCAAAAAAGCAGTTGGCCTGAGTTAGCAGTAATAATATTAAAACAATAGAGATAATATCTCTCTTCGCCTCAGGCCCTTATAAAAAACAGCTGTAAAATATAATTATAGTCAAAACTAGTTACCAATACTGTAAAACAAAGCATTTTGATGACAGCATGAAGACGCACTAGGAGCAATGAAAAGGGAACAAATAGCCACTGAAGAGCTCTTTTCTAGAAATAGCTAACAGAAAAGAAAGATATGGAGGAAATTTTGAGGCTACAGGTGAAGTCTAGAGGTTTTCTTAGCATGAATTTGGTATGGTTGCATCACTCACCAGTGGTAAAGTCACAAGAGAGTTATGAATGACAATAACAAATGCCACATGAGTCTCATGTGCTTGGGATGTCGCAAATATGTCTTAAA